CAATGCATAATGCCCTCTATATCCTAAATGGTATATTATCCCAGAGCTATGTACTAGTCAGACATTCACATTTCTTTGAATATTCCTTAGAGCATGGTAAGTAAAAATACAGTCACCTATTTATTCTGGGTTTGTTGGGTTTTTTTTTTTTTTGGTAATCTAATCTCTATTTAGAATTACAACAAGTTCCTTGACCCAAAACAAAACAAAAACCCTTAACTAATGTTCCTAGTCATAGCCCAAACAAAGGTAGTTATAATGTATTTCCACTTTTCTGATGTCATTATCTAGATGGAAAGTGATTCTGTTTGATATGATCTCATCAAAATTGCATGTGGTTTAGTCCAAGATTCTGGGAATGAATAGCAACCTGACATATAATATGAATATGAAAGTATTTTCTAGGGTCCCRTGTTGAATATGTGTTCTAGATTTACCACTATTGCTAAAAATAGAAACAATATAGTTTTCTTTATTTTGTGTGACTATATTACAGGTATAGAAGTCAATAGCTTTTCTTCCATGTGTCGTTTCTGTGTTGCATTTATGTCCCAACTATAAAATAAAAATGCACTGGCAGCAACATCTCTTTTTAATTATAGCAGAATAACACTAGTGAAAGATAATAGACAGTAATTTGTTTGCAAAGACTAGAACAAATGAGTCCTAGATGATTGCTTGTAAATAAAATATGTATTAAAAAGTATTGGTGGAGAATCTTGGTCCCAGATACGTCACAGAAAAAAATCCTGTTAATTTCAGTGAATACAAGATTTTGCTTTTGGATAATTTTTATTACAATAATTTAGTAGCATCTCAAGAGAAGTCTTAAATCTAATTTGTCAGCTAGTCTACACTGTTTATTTGTTTGCATTGCATTCTGGTATTCTTTGAAGTTAATTTTATTAAATTATATAAAATGCAAAAAGCAGCCTAAGCAATACATGAATTATACTTGGGAAAAGGATTTATATCTTATTGGCTGTTTTCAATTTTGTGCATGAGACATGCTGTATTTGCTGAAAGAGATTGTCTTCTTACAGTGCATTTTTCAGGATGTGAATTAATTATGTCCGATTTTCTGTGACCACACTGGGAGTATGGAAATTGTGTTGCTGGTGGCATTTTCAGTATATGCTGTTACCTTGGTCCCTGCTTGATGAATTGGACTGCTTGCTGTTGTTCCCAAATTCTATCTCATTAAATGAGAGTTCACTTTTCAAGGCAATGAATAGTATACACTGAGTTCTCCTCTTACCTTCATCAGGGCATCATAACGTGTGCCATGAGTTGAAAGGTGTATCAGGGTCCTCACGAGTATTGATGCTACTGCCTGCAACAGAATCTTTTTTAATTCAGTTGCAAATTGTGCTTTAAAAGGAAATGGCACCCAATCCACCTATCAAATATATTTTAGGGCAAAAAAAAATGTTATTGCATCCTAGAAATGCTRTATATAGACGTGGAAAATATTTTCAGTGATGCAGGTTGTGCACAGTTACTGAGGGAAGTACTTGAAGAGAACAGGCTGTTTTTATCAGCTAAAAGTTACCCTGAGTATTGAACTCAGTAAGTACTTCTGCTTATAGTTYATAATTCCTGAAAGCTGATTTAAAAATAATTTATATGATACACATTTATGTGTTTGACAATTTGTGAAAACCCAGCATGTTTTACAAATGTACTTCTTAGTTAAAAGTCAATATGTATACATATATATATTTGTACAAAATTGTAACAGCCTATGTTAACTTCCTGAGGCAAGCATTTAACAAATGGTTCTGGGGAACTGTGATATTCAAAAACATGTAAAATAATGTMTGTGACAGTGGTGTAGATCAGTATTCCCAAAGATACCTATGCCTAATGCAGGAGAATTAGACTTTAAAATTAGAATTCAGAAGAATTCACCATGGTGAGMACTGTAACACTGAAGTCAGCCCGTAGGAACATGAAAGATAACAACACATGAAGCTCTCTGTCTGATGTGTTAATGTCACTGCTGYAGTTGCACATCTGTGTGAAAGTGGTGCTCAGGTGAGTGGGTCTGGGCTCTCCTTTMTTTCTTTGGCACTGTGAAGTAGTCACTGATAAAGAGTAGGTCTGGTCCCTCTTCGCTGCTTATGCATTTTGCAGCAATGAAAATGAAAAGAAAAGAACCACACTCAGAACATTCCAAACTGGAGGAACTAATGCAATGATCCCCAAGATGCTTTCTTTTATAAGTGATGTRACTGCAGTCACAGCATTCTGCATCGCCTTGTACATGTGTTACACATGCAAAATGTGCAGTTCTGGCTACACAGGGCAGCACTTCAGCCTCTCTGGTAGGGGAATTGATTTAAATGGGCCTTACCAGGCATATGTTTAACTAATTTACCCAATTTTGGCTATCTAGAATTCGAACATCTAGTTTAAGTGGTTTAAGCTAGCTGTTACACTTYTAATGTAGTGTAGTATATTGAAGCAGACACACATCTAGAGTCTATCATAATGAACCAGTTCTTCCCAGTTGAAACCAGGATTTAGGAATTTTTATTCAGAGATTCTCTAGAGAAATAAGTGGCCAGGGTGACTTGCTTGAAATACGTTGTGTTCCTGACTTAGTAAGTTAAAACTCACATTTCCCTGTTCTTATTTTCACAAAGGAACRCCCCCTCAAGTGGACATCTTTGAGGGAAAGTGTGTGCAATTTACTGACGAGCACTCAAAAGGAGAGATAATTCTTTCATGTGGGAATCATTTCATGYATTGTCAATAASATTTTTACTCCTTACACTWTAGATGARGAGTATTTAATTGTCTCTGCAGAGMRTGTCAGTTCTAGGAGCTTGTTTTAATATCTTGATGTTGAAGTGGAGATTTTTTGTGATCAGTTCTCTCCACACTACCAACCTGATAGTGTAGTGTTCTTCAATAAGAACCCTTGCTAAGTAGGAGTCTCCAAAACCAATGTTGTGGTTTGGTGTGACTGTCATTCTCTTTCCTCTGAATGGGAATGAAGTGCGTGGCAAATCTGTATGGAAATGGCAAAGTACCATAGTTCTGTACATTCTTCATYTTCATTCAAACTTAATCTGACTGGGAATAAGATCAGGTACCCTTGGATTTTGCCTGCACATCTAAGGGTCCTTGTTAATACTGCATCTCTCTCCTGGCCTCTTCCTATATCATCAGAGGAGAGAAAGATGACAGCTCATTGCTTTGATTGTTTTCTCCTGAGATAAAGARACAATCAGTGCCCTTTACATTTTTCATCTAGGAAATTACATACTTAAGTAGATTTGCTGACCCTGCAGAAAGGCAATGGTCTTGATCTTCTGAAAAGATTTGTTGAGTTACATAGATCTGTTTAAAAAATTGAGTTCACCAAGTGGTAGGAATATGGTCACCTGAATAATAATTTAAACTGGATTGTTTAGATTTGGTGGATTTTTTTTTTTACCTCGCTATTTGTACAATATAAATAAACATCTTTGATCAAACGATGTCAAAGGAATTGCACACACACACAGATGAGGGAAGCAATTCTATTTTCTGTAGCACAGATTGGTGGGCTCAAGAGGACAGMATTTGAAACAAATAGGATCTATATTCGCATAAACTTCCAAATTYCTCTAGTTTATCTGAAACACAATGTCCTTAACTCTGTTTATGGCAGATGGGAGCTCACCTGTCACATACGCACAGAGAATGAAAGTGGTGCTGAGAGCAGGGTTCTTTTTTTTTTAATCTGGAAGAGGCAACTATATAGAGRGAGGAGAAAAATTCTAGCTCTTGCTTTGTGTGTAGTGCACAGTTAAGAAGTGCACAGTTAAGTCCTTGTGGTTTATTTTCATGTCAGGTTACTTAGACAAACACGGCAAACTTTRTTCAGCTTGGTACAGAGTAGAGATTTTTGCTAGTCATTGGCTAAGAGATCAACACATTCTGGAGCAAAAGGGCCTGCACTGATTTAGGGCAGTTAATAATTCGACCTCCCCCATATTCTGTTTAATTCCAAGTACATAGTAAATCATTCATAGATAAAGACAAAGGGCACAGATGGAAGTGTCATCCTACACCACTGAAAGGAAATAATTTACAAACCGTTACACAAAAGGGTTGCCTTAAGTTTCTGTGTTGTCCTTGTGAAATTATTGTTCTRCAAAGTAGTAGCACAAGGTGAGCGATGATGACCCCCTAACTACATAAAATACTATTGGAATCAGAGTGAAAACTTTTAATTATGCATAATATCTGGAGGGTGGGGGTATCTTTAAATGAGGTTGAAAAGACTTCCAACAACAATAGCTCTATTCCATTTTTAAACAAAATGGTTCAAAACTGTTTTTTCTACATAAATCCACACTAGATCTATTACCAAAAAAAATACTTTTTTTTCTATACAGCTGTAAATTTTCTTAATTGTGTATTTATTTTGTAAAACAATCTGTCTTTTTCAACAAGACACAATGCCGTTCATAATTACTTGAAAAGCCATTGATACAGTTAGAATTAATGATTTGCTCAAATTCCTCAGAGCACTCATAAAAACCCTCAAAAAATGGTCTCATTACASAACTTTCTTTTTGTTATTTTATTATTTAAAAATAGGTATTTGTTTTTAGTGTGATATGCCCCTTATGCTAATACTAATTTTTTTAATATGGAAGGAAGAGGCTTGTTTGTCAGATAAACACTTCAGATATCAACAGACCACCAGTGATAAAAATCCTTCTCTTTTTTGTTTAATCAGTATTAAATATAGATAAAGTAATTTCAGAGTAAATTTCACAAATGTAGTCCAAYAGGTATTATTTAAGCACTGGCAAAGTATATTATATCCATTTGATTAAAGGGACGTCTGACCACAGAACACTACCTTTATTTATGTACTATGGTGGTATTAAAAGTTCCCTTGGAAGGAAATGAGCTATTTCTAATAAAATTTTCAATGATAAATACACTGATTTGCTTGTGTATGATTTTTTATATTTTGGTTTAATTTTTCCCTCTAGGCTGTGCTTTGGAGGTACAAGTTTTCCCAGCTCAAAGGTTCTTCAGATGATGGGAAGAGCAAAATCAAATTTTTGTTCCAAAACCAAGATACTAAACAAATCGAAGCAAAGGTAAAGATAACAATTTGTTTGTACAAAGGCAATATACAATTTTCAAAGCAGCTAGGGGAGTGGAGGAGTATCTTAAACTAAGTTACTTGGCAATATTAGGTTAATAAGCAAAGAATGCAGAGAAGACCAATGAAATTGAAGAATTAGTTAAAAGAGTCTTTTGAAAGGTGAAATTAGATTTAAAAAAATAATAAAATATAGGACTTGCTATAGATGGTATTAAGCATGTTTTTCAACTCTGTTCTTTGCTGTTTTGATAAAGCTGTCTGGGAGCTTGAATACACTGTTTTTCACCCTATAGTTGTGTCATGAAGAAATGGTGGAAAATATATCCTTAAGTCAACCTGGGGACAAAACTCAGCAAAAGTTTAAAAATCAGTTTTTAGTTCCCAGAGGGAAAAAAAATGTGGATGAAACACATATTTTCTTACCAGACTTAAGTTTTGTGTCAGGGTCTAATGCAAAACCAGATTTAGGAGTTAGTTCATGAAAAAAGTAGCCATGAGAGATTTATGCTTACTTCARTTTTTGTCTTTTGAGAACAAGCGCATTTACTGTCCCAATGTGTGAGAAAAATTAAGTCTTTGTTAATTGGAACTGCCTTAGAGTCTGAAACAAAGTGGKTTTTTTACTAGAATCCAAATTTTAGTGTAAACCTAAAAACTGTTTTCTTGTCCATGTCTAAGCCTTGCTTTTAAAGCATTTACCATACAATTTTTCTTGACCATGTCAGAGAGAAAATTGATGAATGAATGTGATAACAATACAGTTCCATGAGCAAAAAGGAAATGGTTAAATAAATTGTTTATCAGTGCTAAATATGTACTGTATAATAAAACATATAAAGAAAAATATGCATTGTTTTGGGAACAGTTATGAGTTTAAATGCCAATAGCTACATTAAGCATCTATTTTTCCTTCCTCCATGTGTCGTTATGTTTGGTGTTAATTGTTTTCTACCCAGCAGCTCTTTACTTGATTTTGAATGTTTTACTCAATAAAATAAAGGTACGTAAGAGTTCCCATTAAATCAACAGCAATAAAATGTGGGGACAGTGTTTTTGATATCTTCATGTTCTGCTGTATCTCAAAGATAAATATTTTTCTTATTTTTCTTCAGAATTTTTTAATAGTACAGTACTTTTTTTCAACACTTATAAGAAAATACTGATTAACCTAATGTCATGAGGATGACTCCTTCTTAAGGAAGTAATTGTAAACTTTTATCCTGCTCTTATGTACAGATGAAGGATGAAAGTCATCATTATTTTTCTAATATCTGTCTGCTATTGCTGTCATATTAACACATGATTTTAGCACTAATGAAAATAGGAGTCCATGAATGGCAAACTCTTGGGACCTTAGGGGATTGGGGGGGGGTGTTTGCTTTTGTTTTTGCTTTTATTTAATTAATAAAATTAGAATATATTTTTAATACCAAGTTGTTTTTTTTTTTTTTAAATAGAAACAAAGGATGAAATCTAGATTTGGAAAAAAAAAGTTTTCTTTTTCTTTTTTCATGTTTTAAACTATAGCTGTCAAGTCAATCACTTAGAGATACATAAGTATGTTGGACATATATAAGCCTTAGAGGTATCCTGGTGCCTTTATTGTACCTATTGTTATTCCCACTCAAACTGAGTTCTAGAAAATTCTGCCAAACTTTTATTAAGGTAGAAATTCTACCTTCCACCTTATGAAGGCAGAGTATTAATAAAAACCTGCTAGSATGTTTATTAATATACAGTCATGTTCCCTGGTTGCTTCTCTTTACTATAAATTACTCAATTTGGAAATAAAAATTTGTTACTTTCAATTAATTTTCTCAGTGAGCAAAGCATATCAACCATATGCAAAGATGTCAGATTAYATTCTCTATAGAAGATGCTGTGGCATTTTAATGAGCACTTCTATCCATTCCAATTTGTTTACATATTAAGTATGTGCTTAGTGTAAGAAATGTAGATAAATGTATCTGTAAAATGAATGTGAAGGTTCTTGGGTCATATATTTTCAACACTGGTTAGCTTAAAATTTTGTGGATAAGCCCCTTCTGTATCATTTAAGACTTTCATAGATTTACAGCACTTTTCAGCATAAGGAGAGGTGGAASAGTATAGCCTCTATTTTTTTTTGCTTTAGATTCCTGAGTTAGAGGTATAGCTATTTGTGGAACTGTTGAGTCATTAGGAAATGTTAATCAGATTTTCAGAAATACTTGTAATGCCAGATTTCATGAATACTGWATGCCGGCCTCATTTGAAATCAGAGGATGGAAATTTTGTAAAACATCTGTTAAATGTTGTGATGAATATTCATGGCCATAGTTATCATCACCTGTTAAATGCAACTCTGCTTTGCAGCTGGCCTGGAGTCCGACTGCTGCAGTGGGAAATGGAGTGTAACATTTTTTTATGGTTCTATTTTTTTTTTCCTCGTTACAATACACAGGGAATAGTCAGAATCCAGTGAAATGAGAACCCAGCAGAGAATAAAACCAAAAATTTGAGGAGCCTTTGCACTGATGTATTAGGGCTTTTCCCTTATTCATTCCCAAATAGTAATGGGGAAGCAGGTCTTGGCAGTTAACATTCCAGACACTTCAATTACTGTGTTAGTTTTGGGCCCCTCACTAAAAGAAGAACATTGAGGTGCTRGAGTGAGTCCAGAGAAGGGCAAAAGAGCTGGTGAAGGGTCTGGAGCACAAGTGTGATGAGGAGCAACTGRTGGAGCTGGAGTTAATTAGCCTGGAGGAAAGGAGGCTCAGGAAGAATCTCATTGCTCTTTACAACTGCCTGAAAGGAGATTGTAGCCAGGTGGGTCAGTCTGCTCTCATAAGTAACACGCAATAGGACAAGATGAAATGGCCTCAAATTGCACCAAGGGAGGTTTAGATTGTATATGAGGAAGAAATATCTTCACCAGGAGGGCTCTCAGTCATTGAAGCAGGCTGCCCAGGGAAGGGGTGGGATCACCATCCCCAGAGGAATGGTGTAGATGTGCAGATGTGGCACCTGGGAACATGGTTTAGTGGTGGACTTGGCAGTGCTGGATTAATCATTAGACTCAATGATCTTAAACTTCCTTTCCAACCTAAATGATTCTATGATTCTATATCATTCAAAGAAATAATGTTTCACAGAAAAATATGAGACATCAAAATCYAAATGCTTCCTGTCTTCATTTATAATAGAGAAAATTTTTTTTTTTCTCTCATGCTTTCCCAGATGTGTGAGATTATGGCATGTTGAACCTCTGTGATARTACCCTTTAGCTTTAGAACACTTGTTCATGATCCATAGAATCAGGAGTGTCAGAATGGTCAGCTGAATGGTTGAATTTTGATTCAAACTTAGATAAATACGTTATTGTTCTAGAAATGCATTCCAGCTTGTATATATATATACATATATATATATATATATATATGCTGCTTGGGAAAAAGATAGGTATGTATTAGCATTTTAAATTTTAGCCATACTGTCTTATAATTGTCCAGTACCTCCTCTGTATTCAGGTGGAATATACAGAGATATCAGTGTTAATGTTAGAAGAATTTWGGACAAATACCTTTTGGGAAAAAGTCCAGCACCGCATACATTCATCAGTTAGCTTTTGTTTTTGTTGAGAAAAACACTCGCCACCAGAATTTATATTCATAAGTGAAAGAAAGTCCTTCAATGACACAGAATACCTAATATTTTTGTAATACTGTCAAAAGTTTTTAGAGGGCTTCATGCCTGACTTAAAAAAAAAAATTCAAAATGGCATGCTTTGAGACATACATGTGTTATGGATTTAGTTACAGTTTAACTTATTTCCTAGTATAGTTTTTCTCAGCTTTAAAATTATTTTAGGTATTTAAACATTACAAATACTGTTTTGGTTTTTGTTTTTTTCTGTAGAGACATTATATTCATGCTTTTTTTTTTTACTTCTCTCTAAGTTAAATCATGTTACTAAAAACATATATAATGTAGAATAAAAGAATTGTTTGCTCATGGATGTAAGCAGTTCCTGTCTGAAAATCTGAACAATAATTATCATAGGTCACAGCAGTGGGTCCATGGCAGGATGTCTGAAAGCAAACACATAACTTTAAAGGTATCTAAGGTGAGGTCTAAGTGGTTTCTGACAAGAAAACCACTTAAGGGCAACATTAATCACTGATACCTCTTWGACATTCCAATCTGTAGGTTATTTCCCAGCTGTCACTCAGCAGAAGATATTGCACAAGTTTGCTCAGTCAGACAAAATTTTTATGAGTGAGAGCCACAAAATAGAGCTGTCAGCTTGACAGAATGTGGAGCCAATGTGTCCCTGTATTTGTTCTTACTGAGYTGTTTGGCTTGGGTTAAAAAAAGCACCAAACCCAGAAGGGCAAAGCTTTCTCTGCATCAGTAAAGCACAAAGGGATCGACTTAGACCTTCCTATCTAGTTATTTATCTGTTTACCTGTTTGTTTAACTACTGTTTAATGATTCATTAGTGTCTAAATAGCATCACAGCAGCTCCCAGAGGTGATCCACAATCTCAGGACTGTAATAAATTCAGAATTCTGTGATCTTAAATTTTACTAAATATTAGAGTTTTCTGACAAAAAAAAAAAAGAAGAGTACCTTAAGTCCTCAAGAGTTCCTGTTTTGAGATATAAACATATCCCTCTGAACATAGGAGTWAGCAATGTGTATAAAAATCAGCATCTGATTACATTATTGAATTATCACCAAGCTGTGAACAGAGAGTCTATGTGCTTTGTTAAACATGTATAACTCAAAAGTTACACTTCAGTCAGTGCTTTCACCTCCCCTAAAGTTGCAGCACAATYCTGTCAGAAAAACTCAGGCAAGGCCACACTGCTGTGCTGCATCAGGTGAGCTTYTGTTCACAGATTAGCTGGACTCCTAGAATGAGCAGTACAAAACTGAAGTGGGTACAAAAATAAATTTATCAAGATGAAGGTCCAGTCAATTGTCATTGTTTGAATATTGAAAATCAAAGAAGGCACAGATCAACAAAGGAACAARTGTAACTTCAAGGATTTCTCATTAGTCTCATTATTAATTAATGCTGCCTTAGCRTTAATTAATGCCTATTAATTTGCACTTGAAATAATCTTGTATAGAAGTCTAATCTAAGTAACCTGAATGACTGCTGATCACATCACTGTGAACAAAATATCCACTTTCCACTGGTGCAAGGTGACTTGATGGGTACTTGCACCGTTTTCCAGACTGACATTTCTGCTCATTTTAAGTCTGTTCTCCAAAATGCAATTTTGAATTAATCCTTGTTCTTAGCCCTGAGGGTTTTTCTGTGAGCATCACAGTGCTCTTCACATTTAGAGTATCATCTTTAAATGGGTTATATACATCCTTAGGATCTTTATAGAGTGCTTAGTTGCAGTTACTGAATTTTTTGAGTTCAGATTTCTCACCTGTGTTGGTTTGTTTGGTTTAGTTTTTAGTTCCCATGTGTCTTGCACATTAATTATTTGTCTAATATGTATTTTAGATCACATTCTATGCTAATATAGAGAGACCACGTAACACCACTTTTAAAGGAAGAACAAATATCTTCTCATATCAGCAGTTTATATATGGATGAAATAGACTATTTTTTAAGCATACCATGGATACTTAGAAACATATAATTGCTTGACTTTGTATCATTTATGTAGTTGTAGCTGTAGTTAATATTATTCAATAAGAGATTGCTCTRGTCTGTTTTCTTTTGGGGAAACTCTTTTTCTGTTTTCTCTTTCCATCTCTGTCTTTTCAATCCTGACTTTCTTTGTGAAAGGCAACTAGAATTCCCATGTACTTCTGACCTTCTCAATGACTACATCTTTCTCACATGCCTTTTTGCCCACTTYCATTGTCCTCAGCAGGAGCTGCAAATGTTCAGGCTAAAGGAAGTGTCGGGTATAATGACAGCAATGTAGGGTGAGAGCAGTTTAATCACAAGATGGCTTAGAAAGACAATATGAGGACCAGAGGGTACACTGATGTTCCTAGGAGAGTAGGGTCTTAGGGGAGATGTGCAGACAACAGTCTGAAAATTGTAATAGTAGTGCACAATTTACTGTGTATGGACTAAAAGGTGTGGCTCAAGTTAGGATCTCTTTGCTTCTTGGATGATTCAGAGCATGTGACTTTCCCTACTGGTATCAGCTTCAATGGTTTAACTGCGTATTTCTTCAGATTTCTTAGGGTTTSCCTGTTTACTTGAAACTTCATCTGAACTGTGTGTGCAGTACACACTACCCTGCCTAGATGAAAGTGTATTCAGATAAAAGTATGGCYGAGGACAAAGTGTGTACAAAAACAACCAAGGTGTCTGGATGTGCACAAAAGCTGTGGGTTCCCCTCTGGCAGTATTGTCAACCTGAGGGCATCTAAAAGTGCAAGATTTCAGTGGAAGTGAGGGGATGTTTTGTCTGTCAGCAGCTCTACATGGAGTCTTATCTGTTTGTTAAGCTTTCTTGTGATTAGGCTAATCTGCCTGAAAAGTGTTCCTGATAGATCCTGTTCCCATCAATCAGGCTCCTGGGAATTGAGTTGCAGCCATTAATCAGACCCACATGTACTTGTCACAYAGGAGTCAGCCTACTGAGCTCCAAACAGCTTTAATTTCCAGTTAAAAATGCATGTCCTCACTGAAACAGGAATAGTAATGTTTCATGGCAAATAATAATCGAGCATTTGCTGACTTAGCGTTTTTCTTTGCAGTCAAGATAATTGCCACATTGTGTCATCATTATCAATAACAGTTATCAAGTGGGACCTTCAAGCTGCCTCACTCATTTCTCTCGATGGTCCATTGAGCAGGGGATATTCCTGATGTGTTCCTATTGCAGAAACACCTGTGATAACTTTTGGTAATAATTATAGTCATGCACTGTGAAAATTCAGCGTCCAGTAGCTGCAATTATGACAGTAACAACTTTCAGGTTGTAGCATTACCTAATTGACTTGAACGATTTTCAAACTGTAACATTTGTTTTATATGGTTATCTTGTTGAGAGATGGGGGAAATGYAGTCTTTCTACACATAACACGTGCAATTGATAATAAAAATACTTCAAGGTTCCGCTAAATATTTATTCCCTTAAGCTTCAGTTTTATATTTGTAGTACTTAAAGGGTAAATAAATGTATTAATAAAATGAAGTTAACTGAAAAGTAACTTAATTCCAATGACTCATAGTTGTTATTCTGAAATACCTTCTGTAATTCCTTGCTTCCTCACCTGTGAATGTACATCGTTTTCTTATCTATGATGAATTTTCTTATTTTGAAATTTGAGGGGGGAAAAATCCACTTTGACATAGTGATAAAATTGTCCTTCTCTCCAGGTATAAAATTGAGAATGTCTCCAAATGGATTTTTTTTTTTTTTTAATATATATATATAGACACAGCTGGCGGGTTTGTGAAACTTGACATAAACTTTATCTTCTTTATTGAGAATTGGTCATCAGGGGAGTTTTAAAAACCTCATGGGATGTTATCAATTTATTTCTGAGCATGTCTGAAGGACATGTGCTGAGGCTGTAGGAGACCTGAACAAAGCTTCCCCATTCAGTACATCACTGGACATCCTGCACATCCAGCTGTCTGCTTTCACGCTGTTATTGTCCCTCACACACRAGGGATTTGTGAATGTCTCCATGTATTCTGTGAAGCAATGTCTTCCAGGAAATCTCAAGAGGCTSAAAATTGCAGGTTGATGTCATTTTGAGAGATTTAGCAATTTTTCTTGGATTTACAACATTTTCAATATTCTTCTAAACAAAAGAACAAAACMCTGGTACTACATAGCCTAGAAAGACCAGATGCTAGACAGAAAGACAAATAAAATATACCACAGATTTCTATTACTGGCTTCATATTGCAGTGAAAAAATCCATATGGGTAGTGAATCAAAACAGAAAGACATAAATTCTGCTATTTCCCTACACTTGTATGTATTGAAGTACCTCAGTAATTGCTTTCAAATGCAACGGATATTTGTTGATCAAATACCAGCTTTCAGAATCCCATACTGAAGAAAACCATAAAAAAAGGGATCAGATAAAGTCAATTAGACACAAAGGGGAAAATTTATACATGTGAAAAAAATGTAGTTTTTATTTATTTCCTCCCTAGTGATATTTAAAACAGTCCAAGCTAGTCTAATCATGTGCTGAGGAGGCTACAAAGAAATGTAAATTAAAGCAGAAAAAGAAGGAATTTGTATAATATTCCTAATAAGTTTAAATAATGGAGTATGTTCCATTTTTGATCCAATAACAAATCCAGATTATCACTGTGACAGTATCATGTTTTGATTTTTTTTTTTTTTTGTTTGTTTAATATATTGAAGAATCAGGTGAGAAAATAACCAATAGTGTGAGGAGACATTATGAACAAATGTAATGCATGTGGAACTCAACATTATTAATTTTTTGGGTACTTCGGTTAAACAGTAATAGTCCAGAGATGTGCAGACTGTTACTGAGCAGCCATTAAGTTTCCATCTAAATTAACCTTCAAAAGGACCCAATTTGCATTAACCTGAGGCAATATAGAAGTTATATAGTGTCACTTTCTTTCCTCTTTAGCTAGGGGATATTTATATGGAGGTGCTTAATCTAGAAATTTGTTCATTTTAGCCTACAAGCAATTATTTACTGAATGTTCCATGTGTCTAAGTCCCTGTAATGGAGAATTATAAGGCACATTAGCATAATTACATCAAGCTGTTAAAATTATTGCTGTTGGAATAGTGGTTCATTCCCAGTTATACGATTGTGGGGTATTCTTCTGCTTCACGTTGAATCTTTTTTGTTTTCCCTTCCAGGAACTGGAGTTTTCTAACCTGTTTGCAGTCCTTCACTGTATCCACTCATTCTTTGCAGCCAAGGTGGCTTGTTTGGACCCTTTGTTCGTTGGCAGCCAAGCCACAGCTTCTGCTGYTCCCACAACTTCTGGTACTGGCAAATTAAAGTATACTACTTGACATCCCCCATGACAGCACTGCCACTTAACAACGGGACATACAAATGTATAAATATCCATAAGATTTAGACYTTTGGTGAACCATGTATGTGGAGACCAGTCCTGGAGGCAAGATATCTTGCAGCATCAGCAGCTAAATGGTCACGTGGGATCATAATTTCATCTYGGTTCTGCAAGACATCAGTAAATAATCCCAGTCAAAACCCCCGAATAGGATGGATATGCTTTTAGTATTATCTATTTGTACTTACATAGTGCTTTGAGCAACACTGGAAGCAAAGGAATAAATGGCGAAATGAAGCACTCGAGTATTTAATAAAATTTTCAAATTGCTGTAATAATACACAAATAGAATTGTCATTTTCCTGTTTTCAGATTTTTTTATGACAATATCCTAAACTCTGAGTATGAACATAATGCCCTATCATTATATTCTAAATGAAAGCAAGGAGCAAGCGTATAGTAGGTGGTGACAAGGMGATAAGCATGAAAAGGCATTTGTGTAAGTATCTCCTCAAATGAGAAAGCACTTTAAGCACTGCTGTAAATCCATACTTGTGTTCATRCATGGAGCCATGCTCCTTTTTCCATTTTGTTCTCTTCATCTAACAGTAATAACAGCAAAGATATAGCCGTACTGGACTGATATATTAAAARCAAAACAAAACAAACAAGCCACAAAAGAAAAAAGAAAACATTTTTCATGGGTAAGTCCCTCTTCGTCAAGTAAAAACAAAGGCATATGAATTTAATCTAATTATAAATTAAGTGCAAGTACAAAAAGTATTGTGTCATCTATTTACTTCTTCCTTTCTTTTGTCAAGAATTAAATGCTATCAATCTAACAGTCTTTGTTCACAAGATTTTGAAATTGTTTCAGAGAAAACCCACCTAATACATTGTTCCCATGGTTAACCTTGATTTCACAACATAAATAGAACTTCTGTTCCACTCAAACTCTCAACAAATAGACATTTTACATTATGCTTGAACAATTAGTTCACTCTTTGAATGCTTAATAAGTTATTTTTATATATATATATTGATAGTAAAAGACTGGAATAAATGGACTAAGCTGTAAAGAATAGATTACAGAATACATAATTTCTTTGTTTGTTAAGACCATTACATCACTCTGGATCCAGTACTAGTTCCAAGGTATCATTAAATGATGAAATATGAAGGACTTGTAAATTTTTTTAATTGCAGTTTTGCAATATAATTTAATTTTGTGCTATGACACACACCAGTGAAGATGATGGAAAAAAGATGTACATTTTCGATAGTAGTTTGTGGGGTTTCTGTTTATTGTATTGAAATAAAAACTACCTTTTTCCTTCTGCCCACTTAGACTTGTTAGCGGCACTCATAAGATAGGGCCACCATCTTCGTTATTGAGCAGAAAGACTGATTCTGTCACATCCCTTTCCATGAGTTAAGATGATTAATACTTCAAAAGTGAAGCCAGAGGAAAACTTATCCAAATGGCAACAATACAAAATGTGAGTCAAGGACAGAAGATGAGTAAAAYGTAGGAGCAAATTTTGCCTCTGTTTTCTTGCTTTGCATTGGAAATACTCAGATTTGCATGTGTGAGARTAAGATTGCTTTGAAATATAGCTGATCTAACTTGAGATTGGTTCCAAATAATCTAAAAATATTTGGGGGAGGGGGAACTCTTATCGCTTTCAAATGTCTTTAGGTATGCACGTATTCCTATTAGTGCACCTCCAAGGGCTACACATCTATTTTCCATCCTAAATTCAGTGGACTGATGTAACAATCCAACTACTAAATATTTTGTCGTCAAAATCCAGCATTTTCATAGACATCATCAGGAGGCTTTTTTAATAAGAATTGTCCCTAAATAAGGAGGTCACATCCCTCTCTGAAGGACAGATAAAACTACCATATCTGTTCATAGGATCACGAGCTTGCTCCTCATAGTACAAACCCCAGATTTTTTAAATCTAAAGCTACAACACTTTAAGAGGTTTAGCAGTGGTAACTCAGGCGCTCTCCTTGTCTAGAAAGCATATACTGGAAACACAAATTTTGGCAGAGCGTTGACAATGCTGAAAACAGAAGCCTGATATCTTTTAATGACAGTTCTCCTCGGTACTCCCAAATCATCTCCTCCCTTTCAGTGCGTTGCTGTGGCATTCAGCTGTCACAGTGTGGCCCTGTGYTAACTCCTCAGTAAATGCTCTGCTGGCTACAGCAGAATCTAAAACTGATCAGAATGAAACAGAATGTTTCTCTTTCAACCATTCGTGTTATGTGCAGTTGCATCACTGAATCTGAGAGGTGTTTAAGAGGCGTGCCTGAATGACAGTAACATTTACCCAAACCAGCACAAGGTATATCCTTGCAAATATCTTTAGATGAAGGAATTCCATTATATGAAAGCCCCCTGCAGAAATTTAAACAAAAATGCTCATTGTGCAGAATGGACCTAATGACATGAACTTGTGAGACTCTGCCTGGGTATCCTGAACATCTCTGTCAAGAATTCTGTTTTTAGAACACCTTTATTCATCACTGATCACTGAGACTTTTGCAACTGGGCATTAAATACAAAACGTTTAAGAAACACATTAGCCTATAAATTGATTTTTTGTTACTGTTTTCTAAAGAGATAAAATGGTGGGGCTTTATCAGTACTTTTATTTTCAAGAAGGAAAGTGGTACTGARAGATTATAAGATGTGATAGCTTTGACTGCAGGTCAGTGTTGAATTATAAATGCAGCAGGGGTTTGTGCAGTGACCTCACAGAATATTGAGAAGTGATTCTGGATCCAACCTTGCCCTTGTAGAGCAACTTGGTCAGAAAATCAGTCTTGAACCAAAGAGGCAAAATTTTAAACTCTGTGTTATAACTAATCCTGAAATACCAAAATAAAATTTACAAACATACTAAATGGCTACATTTTTCATTGAAATACCTACAAGAGGTTCAGATTTAAAGCATTGCGAACTTCATACGCATTTGTCAAAACTCAGGCTTTATGTTGCAGCATGTCATTTCACACATATAATGAATACAAGTATTTTTTAAATCAACACAGCCCATTGACAATGMGAAAACCAGATCTATAATGAGCCATCAGCTTTTGCTAAAAATCTGTATGCAAGTGAAAACAAATATTTTAACAAGTAAACAAGTAAACCAACCAACYGGTAGCATAATATGTAATTTATTATCTTTATGTCATGATATTTTCAAGTAAGTTTAATAAAAAAAAATTCTTTATAGTACTGTGCCTATTGAAGTGATGTTATATAGTATACCAAAAAAATGTACTCTTAAGTATAACTAAATATATTTGGGTTGATTTGTTTTGCTTTATGATGGGAATTTTAAATTATCTGATCTTCACAGAACTAATCATATCCTAGGTTATACTGTTAGAATTATTTTATTATGGAAGTGTTACCCATTTGAATACATTTTATTAATGATTTCATCAGTAAATTAATATGTTTCATTTTCTACATCTTTTTAAAAATAACGKTTACAGATTTTCAAAAGAGTTTTGCATTCCAGTAGCGTGAAAGCATCTTTAAAATAAAAATCAGCATAGTTTTTAGCTGTTGGCCATTTTATTATGTTAATTAAGTGCAACAAGAACTTTGTGGAGAAGAGCTAGTTGTAAGTGGGTTATTTTTTAAAACCAGTCATTTAAAATTTTGTCTATTCAAACTAGAATTTTTAAGARTGCATACCAATAATATACCAAGTATCAATATGCATGAGAAAAGACTCATGAAAAATYTTATTTTCTAAATTATTTCTTGATTCCACAAAATAACATTTATTTATTTTAAACACAGGGAATTACCAGAACACCTCAAAGTGCATTAAATATGTAGTTGTCAACATTACGGCTTGTTACTTTAAATGTGATTTTTTTTCAATACCTTAAGATGTTTCTTGTATCAGACAAAATGTTAAAAAAGGCTGAACATCTTGAGAATGTACTACTGTTTCCCTTAGAAATTCAAATCAGGTTTTATTCTTTCTTGTCAATTCCAAGAAAGCTTTTGGAAATTTTATTAACATTGAGAACACTAATCCCTGCGTTTCACATTCCATTTCTTTACATGGTCGTTTGGTCTCTGAAAAAGTGTAGTGTCTGAAAAAAGATTAAAGCAGGTTTTAAAAAGTTCTGTCTCAGGCAGTTACGAGTTTGAGCTTAASACTCACACCTCTGACCAGTTCAGTATGATGGGAAACATGAAAGACTCACTCAAGTTCCCAAAATTTAAGTACCTGTCTTAGATGCCTGAGATTGCGCTTAGGGCACTTCAAAAGGGAAACACAAGGTGGGAAGGTGGCTTAAGATCTCTGAAGGTGCATGCCTATTGTCTCTCTTTGTTTCTCTAAGGAACTAGAGGTTCTTCTACTTCAGTGCTTTCATTTTATCACGAATGTGCTTTTTAAGCCAGGCTCCTGCCTACAGCCACTCACATGATTCTTCTTATCAGAGAGCAGTCTTTAAGCACATGAGCTGTTCTTTCAGGATGACCCCAAACAAGCATCACAGCTCCAGGTCCTGATGGGCTTTCGGACTATACAGCCCAAATAAATGAGTCCAGARARAAAAAAAAAAAMYAWAWAYATCTGAGATGCTAACAGCAAGACTGCCAGGTCCTGGTGCCAGCCATTTTGTGGCTGTGGTGGCTACTGCTCGTGCTCTATGGAAAAAAAAGAAGCTAAAAAGCTGAGCATCTCAGTGTAGCCCACCAGAGCTTAGTGCCTGAAGGGGGATGTGCTGCAGGAAAGAGCAGAATGAAGGTGGGAAAGGCTGATGCTGCCCAGGGCAGGTTATTCTGCATCACTTTTTGCCTCACCACAGTAGGACAGTATTGGCTGCAAGCAGGCTACCCAACGCTGGTCAGCATTCTCCCTGCTGCTCCTATGTCCCCATCTGCCACAAATGCACACCTGAATTTTGGCTCTGAGGTCCCCAAGCACACTTCCATGTTCCCACACTCCTATTACTCTGATAGATACAAAACTCTAAACCTCATACAGGGACAGTGTTAAGGATTATGGCAAGGGCATAAGAGTGCTTGAGTGTGTGATTAACATTCAGGTTACAGCAAACAAAGTCATATCTGTCCTTAAGTTCTTTCCTGACTTGGAGGGTTCTTAAGTGGATTTTTTGTTTCAATTTCCTGGGGTAAGTTCTACAATGTCAATGCATTTCTACTTGCTTGGCTCCATTTTCAGGAACTTTAGCAGAGACCGTGGTTCACATCCTGTTGCAATGGTAGAGAAAAAACATAAGAAATACTGGAATAAAAATAAATTTATGTTCAGATTCTGTATATTATTACAGTACATGAAATAATGTATTGAAATATATTGAACAATGTAAAAACAAATGCTTTCATTTATATTTCCTAGTCGGTTTTCGCCGTGGTATACATGACTTCCACTTTCAACAAATTTCTCCACAGGAATCCCAGCTTTCTGTTGTAGAAATTATTTTGCTATTCAGTATATACTAATATATAATGCAGTGTGTGTGTATGTGTGTATGTGTGAGTGTGTGTGTGTGTGTGTGTATCTATATATTAGTATATACTAATGGAATATATTCAGTATATATTAATGAAAATTGCATATTAGGCACAACTGTAAAACAGAGGCATACATCCATGAAGCTTTACATTAAAAAAACTTATAATACTATAAAGAAACATATGTATATTAGTTGAAGAAATGGCTATTTTTGCAGGATATGCACAATCTGGATATATGATAATAAATTGTTAATCATTAACAGATTTATTATTTCGTACCTCCAGGAACTTAGGGTTTTTTTTAATTATTCTTATCCCTTTAGCATATTTGCAATATATGTCATAAATTTTAATTTGTTATGGATAAAAATGACTGAAAAAATGTAATAGAAAGTGCTATATATTTTATAAATATTAAAAAATTAAGAAAATATATTGAAATTATTTATTTCCTTTTTAGTTAAGGTTTTGTGATTGTTTGTAATATGTATTTGTGACAAGCATAAGTCACCTAGTTGTTTAAGCTCATTAATGTACCACTAATAAAATGCTATCTTCTGTTTTGTTTTTGTTATGCTTCTTTTTGTAATGGAACATAACAGAAAAATAGAAAATAAATACTTTTTTTAACTAATTTTTGCATTCAGTTATACAGTGTATGAGTTTTATATCATTGAAAGCCAAATCTGGGAAACCAAGAAAACATTTGAAGAACCTGGGGTGATAAAGTTATTTCCCAACAACTGTTTATTTACTAGAAGTAATGACAATTCCTTACTTGTGTGATTATTTCTACAAGGCCTGTCATCCATTTAATGCCTGACTAGGATTTTGGAAATA